TGGTAGTGTCTCATAGTTTCACATTTTGGCTAATGTACCATTATGATTCGGCCATCAATATACGATTCCAATAAAAAAGTAACCCCATTGCCTTATCATCGATTCTCGGACAAATGAAAGTTTGAATGTTCAAAAGTTCCACATTTCAATGTTGTCAAATTTCTCCTCGCAAATTGCATTTCTACCAGAAGATTAATTAATGGACATTTCTACCTGAAAATTCCACCGATTTCCAACAGATCTCGTTCAAAATCGGACAAATTTTGAACAATAATTGCACATGCATAATCCTGCTGCTCTACATTCACCGGCGACGGCAAACAAGTCCGCATGTACGAATGCGCCTCGGCAGCTTTCCGAAGCTATTGTTCAGGCCGGCGATGCCCGACGCTGGAGAGCCCGGAATGGAGGAAAAACAAATTTAAAAACAGACGCTGGGTGGGAACAAAAACAAACGGAGCCCAGGCGATGGAGCGCATCGGTGAAATAGGGCATAGGGGGCACCGGCACGGAAGGGGGGGGGGGAGGCGCTCCCTGGCGTCAGCATCGGCGTCGCGGCGCGGAATTCGACGCTGTCAAGACAGTGACAAGCGTCGACTGTTGATTGCAAATGACAGCCGTCGAGCTTACAAAAACCACCTATGTACCATAGAGTTCCACGGGGAGTTGCGTGGTTTGAGCACGGCACGGAGGGTGGTCGTCTGTGTGCCCGGATATGAAAATTTTGTCATGCTCCGTGTGGCAGTGGCTGCGAATATCGCTGCCGGCAACTCAGGACGCCGGCGCTTGGCCTCCGAGGGTTCGCTGTCCTCCACTCCGCCCCCCAAACCCCCTCCCCCCGCCGCCGCCCGCTCGCCACGCTCTACCCCTCTTCCGAAACCCCCTGCTGCACGTCACGAGTTAATTTTCATGTCAGGTGAACATGTCAGTCGCCTGGTTCCTTCTGATGTTTTCACTTTTTCTCTTTCCCGACGGATTTTCCCCGGCCCCGCCTCTCCGAGCTCGTGCACGGCAGGGAGCGGATCCTGAGAAAAAGTTCGGTTCCCATCGACAGTAACGTCTGAATTTTATTTTCAACTCATTTGCTCCGTGGTTTGGCTCTGCGAACGTCCTAGAACTTTAATGTTCAAATGTACTATCGATGTTTTATGTTTTGTTGAGTCAAAGGTGCAACTAGCCAAAATAGTACGCACTCAAATAGTATTTTGTAATTATAAAAGAAATTAAGTTCATCTAGGAGAAGATGAAAATATAAACAATTATTTAAAAAAGAAACTAGGTTAGGTTAAATTTCGTGGCAGCAAAGTAAATATGATGTGACCCTTAACAGCCGTACAGACTGCACAAAGCTTTAGATATGCATGAAAATCCATGCCATTACCAGGCGTATAGTGGTGATTTGAAGACGGTGAAAGACGATTTAGAGCTCCGATTTTTTTCGAGAGTTTGTTTGTCCATTTTTTAAAGTAAGCTTTTCTTTAAAATCACGTTTCTGAAGTGAAAATCTCATACCATTATAGCTCTGCTTATGCTCGAAAAGTTTGGCGCATGTGCGAAAAATTTCAAAAACAACGGGTACCTAGTTATAAAAATAACTCAGTTTTGAGTTTCCCGGTAGCAGAAATGCAAAATTTGCTGAAATTTCATCAAATTTTACTTTAAAATTCCGTTAAATTTTTTAAAACTTCTGCAATTGACTTATGCATGAATCCATCAAACGTATGGAAATTATAAAAGAGAAAGAAACAAGTCAAATTTTGAAGTTTCTTTTCGAACTCTAGAATACTTGTTGCGGCTTCATATGCGCAGCCTCTGAAAAATCTTTGAAATTTCACTCGTTGCCCAGCACCGAAGTCTTTTTGTGGATAGTTACAAACAGTCGAAGAAAAACGTATACCCCGAACGACGTAAGACGGTAGCTCTAAGTTGCGTCATCCCGGTGAAAGGTAAACAACCAGGCGACAAGCGTGAGATGATGCGTGGGTGGACGAGGACAAGGGCGCTAACACGGGCGGCGCATCAAAGGAACAACAGAATCACTTGACTTCATCTGTTGAGCAAGTGCATCGAAAAACCATTTATCAACCCTTGATCCCGAGCTGAGAGGGCGGCTATTCTTTTCTGCCGATTTTCCCGGGCCTTTCTCTCCCGTCTTCGAGGGCCATTTTTCTCTCACAAGTCAGTTTTGCACTAATTCGCAGGCTCCTGGGAGACTGGGTCCTGGTCATCGCACCCAGATCCCGAACCGCGGGGAGCCTTTATTAATCGAGCCTCGCTGACATGTTGCTCCCTTCCTGGATCGCCGCCGGCACCTAGGGACACTTGTGCAATCCGCCGAAATATCGATACTCCCCACCCCCAAAATCGAGTTTTTTAAAGAGATGAATAGGTTATGTCGATTCCCGAATCGAGTTCATTACACCCGTCGATCAATCGATATTGCAATCCCTGAATCGAGTTTTTCCGAGGGATTGAATAGGGTGTATCGATTCCCGAATCGAGTTTGTGTCGCAAACAACTCTCGTACCAATTGATATCGTAATTCCTGAATCGAGTTTTTCCGAGGAAACGAATAGGATGTATCGATTCTCGAATCGAGATCGCATAGTAAGGGGAGTTTCTCCCACAACCGTCAACGGGACAACGGGACAAGAGGCCTTTAGAAGTCCAATGCTGCTCCAGGCCTGAGAACAATGCGATGACGAGAGCCACAATCAAATTTATTACGCTCCCTTCTTCCCAGTAAATAGCGATTTAGGTTTTTTCTTCTCTCTTTTTTTGCTCTCATTTTCCAGACGTTCATTATTTATCGGGTCTCGTGTTCCGTTCAGACGGCTACTTTCCCTCGCTTGTTTCTCTTTTACCGTTATGGGGATGCTACTGTTGCAAAAAAGGTCAGACGTGGTGATAAAATGTCTTCTCTTTTTCAAGAGGGCGAGAGAGACTAAACGTGCCTCGGATGGTAGCCTCGCTGGATGTAATTCCTAAGCTTGTTAAATTAGCGTATTTGAAGTTCTCTTTTAAAAATCCTGCCTTTCGGTTGTTTAGCATATCTTTCGTGATTGGTGTTATTTTAGTAAGCGTTTTATACAAAGCCGAGAGTAAAATCCATATCATATATACATAACCAACCTAAAATTTACAATTTGACAAATTAGAATTACATATTTGCAATTGTTTTTCCATCACATCATATCATTCCATGACCTGCTGCTGACAAGTCATCAGCTTAAGTCACTTGCCTTTCGAATATAGCTTTCATTACGCGAAACCAAAATGCCTGATACAATTATTTCAACTCCCTAGCCGCTCAAATTGTATCCATCAAGTTGAAGGCGAACTTGATTTTCGTTCCTGTAAGTTATTCAGACATTAACGCGAGAGCGGTGCGATATTCTAATTCTTATAACTTATCTCAATGTCTCAAGAAAACTACATATAGTTTGAAGAGTTATTTTTCCGTTCGGCTCAACGTTAAAAGAGACCTGACTTCAACTTAGGTTTTTACATCTGCACTGAAACTAAAGGTCAATTTGAATAGATGGTAATCGACAAAAGACTCCGTGGTAGCATAAATCAGCATTTTGGCAGTATTTATTATAGCTATATGGTGAATTGTAGCAGGAGTCTGGTTATTTTCTTCCGCAATAATACCACCGTGTCACAAATCAAGTAGACTTATGGTAAAATTTACAATGCTCTCTTTTCAGTGTATTTCATACTTTTGCAAACTTTAGAGCTTTCGCAGGTATATTTACGCTTCTGGGCAAGCTCAAAACCACTATTCACTCACTTTTACTCAAACTTATCCCTTGGTTTCTTTTCACTAAAAGTTGCCCAGCTCATCTCAGCTGGAGTACTTCCCATGAACTCGGTTAAAGCGTATCAGTAATGTTTTTTTCGCGCGCTGATACGTATGTTCCCGAGAACCAGTTCAATAGCCCGAACGTCAGTTACCGTAGATGAAGATGGGTCCACGCAGTGATCCTCAATCGTAAATCACCGAGGATCGAGGGGGGAGAGGAGCGGACGTTGAGACGAATGGAGAGGAAGAGAAATGGAGGTATAAATACATCAAGCACACGTCACCGCGTTTCATAACTTTCATAAATTTGAGCGGCCGGCGACGCGTATTTTCATTGTGGTGGCCGCGGTCTACCGCTCCGGCTCCGAGGAACAGAGGGGACTCCACCGGAACCTAAATTAATGGTTCCTCGCCTAGAACAATTCTGCGGATAAAATTCTTTAATTGCTTAGTTCGTTCTTCCGGAGTTTTTTCTGCCCTCGCGTCTTCGTTTTTTTCTGGATAAAATAGTAGCGTTAAAGTCACTTACAATTTTAGTAAACACGAAAATAAACATGATCATATGGCTGGTGTTGATTGAAAAATTCCTCGCATCGTTTACTCTTCCGGATTTTTTTCTGCTCTCGCGTCTCCGTATCTCTATGATAAAGTTGATTTGCAGAGACGTGGCAAGCTTTGCGATATATCGATTGATCTATCATTCAAACCTACAGTAAAGTATCGATAAATAGTGTGTTTGCAAACGCTTTAATTGTCGATTCTGCACCACAGCTTCAAATGGGACAATATAGATCACCACTGATGATCCGCAGATCCGCGTGACCGGAAATTCCCCCGCTCAAAATTTGATAATTTGACTCTGACTCTGAAGTGACTCTATATTACTTAAATCGACGATGAATTGAATGCAATTTTGCAATTAGGAACCATAATCTCTGGCTCATCCATAAAATCACTTATGGGCATAGGGAAACGAATGATACATGCGCTGTTTCTAACCTGAGCCAAAAATTGTAGCTCCAAGTTGCAAAGTGTAGTTCAGGTGGAGTTTCATTATTCACTCAATCTCCGAGTCAATTGACTCGACCTTCTCTCAATATGGAAACTATATATTTTTATTTTAATGGTGTTCTTTATAGTATTTGTGTTATAATTGTGTATTAATTTTCCGGGTTTTTTCTGCTTTTTGTTGTAGGTCTGGTTCCAAAACAAAAGGAGTAAAGAAAGGCGACTGAAGCAGCTGACCGTCATGGGAAGGGGCCCGTTTTACTCGGGGTCTCGAAGACTCAAGGGCTTTCCCATGCCTTTGGGCTCCGGGGGCTTGGGAGATGAGCCCCCTCCAGGTTTCTCATATTTCGCATCTGGCGATGGGAAATTCGATTTCGGAGGATACGGTGGTCCAGGCTTTCATCCGGATTTCTTTCCGGGTCATCCCCATGGGCCGCCTGGCAACCCACCTCTACCTTTTAGTCCTCAAGGTGAGACTCCATTTTCCATCTACATCTCATATCTTAGTTGTGGCCTACAGCCTGTGTGTGCAAGCATCGTCAGGAAACAAAACATAAAACTCGGTCGATACAGGGAGAGGGACACAAAAAAACACAAGCTTTTGGTTGATTCTAAGGTTTCTCAGTTAGCCTATCGTTTTCTTGGCTAAATTCAACGAATTTTACCAAAATCATGTCTTGATTTATGCTTTTTCCCTATATTTACCGGAGGTAACAATAGAACACAATAATAATTATTTTCTCTGTCTGATAACATACATATTTATTTTTACCCTAGAGGTGAGGTACGCAGTAATTTCGTGGTTGCATTTTTCAAATCGTGAATTTTATAATTTTTAATGCCTCCTTTGTCTTCTTTAAATTATTTGAGGGTAAAAAATCACTTATAAAAAAATATATATATAAATATTTTTGATTTCATGTGGAACATCCCAGAGGAGAACTGATGATGTGCGATAATACTCGCACTATGCCGAGAAAAAAATTCGGGGCATCCATATTTTTTCAGCGACTATTTCGCATGTACTATTTATTTCCGTACTAACTAAAAAAATTAAGATGCTTAAGTTGAATTCAATGAAAACCTTTTCGATATCCGCGCTGAAACACCTTTCATACCGACGAAGAACATGACATCGCAAATCAAAAGCGCCTTGAACTGAAAGTCCAAAAAGGAGCGAAGAAAATTATTTTCATTCGCCATGGAATTGAATATTTTACAGCTTATTTTGAAAAGGAGAGTCTTAGGAGTTAGCGCCGCGAATGGACAGCCAATCCAGAAGCAGGTTTGAAAAAAAATATGATCTCCCTTTACGATGATATTAGAGGCCAAAAAATATGAAAAAAATACCTGCCTTGATATAGATTCATCTCATGGTTGTCGATGGTGGCTCGGCAGTCCTGAAGTGGTGCCATAAAAATTAATGATGTGTCTGCGCCTGTCTCCCCGACGGTTTTCCTTCTGAACTTAACCGGTGCGATGAAAAAAAGCAAGGATTAATTAAAGCATTGTTTTTTTCCTGTTGCCCAGGTGGTCCGATGGACCCTAATAATATGGGAGGTCCGATTCCTAGCGAGTTCGGCGGTATGACTCCAGAGCCGGCCCCTGGATTTCTCCCCCAACAACCCCCCACGAGCGAGACGCAGATGCTGTCCCATCGAGCTAGTCCTGAATTCATTAACTCTCATGGTAAGTCATCGTTTTAATCCATCAATCAGCACGCACAGTTTATCGGGTTTTCGATGTTTTTCTCCTATCATAACTCCAACAACAAATTGGTGGAGGTATAAATATTGCAAAGAAGAAGAAGAAAAAGAAGAAGAAGAAGAAGAAGAAGAAAATTGGAGCCAAATGAATGTTTGCCAAAACTTGAGCGCAACAATTGAGTCCTTGTCCCTCAGACGACTAACTCATACTCTTCAATGTTGCAATACTTACATATCCCCAAATTGTGTTTTTACCAGGAAACTGTCACGTGTCTTATCGAAAATTTTGCTGATGTTCCCTCTAACTACACGTAAAAATCAGCGAAAATTTGGATTTTTGGACAACAATTTCGAAGTCAAATTTTTGTGAAACAAATTCAAGTTTTTTAGTTTTCAGCGTATAAAACGACAGATCTTCTACGGTTGTCTTAATGAGCAGCGATTTATACTTGGAGGTAGTTTTGCCTTTAATTTAGGGGCGTCAAAAAGACTTGTGTTTATTCATTAGTTATTTCTCAAAGTAGGCAGCCAAAATGTACCTCTAGAACATTGGCTCAATTTTTTTTAAAGGAAGAAAAAGTTTAAATTGGCATGAAAATCGGAATCAGCATTAGACTTTTTTGCATTCTCTGTAGACGAATTAGCCTGTAGATTTTTTGCAAGAGATGTTTTATCGAAAACTGCAATAATTCTCAAAAATAAAAGTAGAGCTCTCAGCGAGACTGACCGGGTGCATGCGGCTGAGGACTATGATGAGATGGAAATGGATAATTTTTTCCGCGAGTATGAAGAGGGGGTGCGGGCTACTTGTTTCGTTAATCCGTTGAGGATTTCCGGTGTAGCGGGTGAGAGGACAAGAAGCCGGGCCACTGCTCACCGGTGGCAGAGGGCATTCATTACAATATCTGGAGCCTGAGCCATAAGTTCTAGGCCGATTAACTGATATTACGAGATTTCTGTCATTGGCCAGGAGTTCTCACACTGATCAACTCCAGTTCGGCTGGCCTCCTGCCAAATATTACCACCAGAACCTGTTGCACAGCGCTCCCGTCCTAAGGAAGAACGCCGTATGAGCCCTCAGGCGTTGACAAATTGCCCCAGATAAAGCATGTATTTTTGCTAACGATTATGCGTATTTTTCCTTGAAATTTTCAGACATTTTATAAAAAATTGCGGACAAAATTGTCTAAAAAAATTGAAGAAAAAAATTCACGATTTTCTCAGTAAATTAAGGCTCTATTGACGGAAATTTGGCAACGCCTGAAGGCTCATACGGCGTTCTTCCTTAGCACGGCAGCACAGCATCCGTCGTGAATTCCTCGTAAATTTACATGCAAATGTCACGATTCGAATTCAATACATTTGATAACTTTATGATCCATGCCAGGGGTTCCCAACATTAGTGTTTCACTCATGGTCCTTGATTATGAGTTATGATGTAATCATGCTAATTTTATTCTCGCGTTCTATGCCCTGGTCTTCATCGAGTTGTTCGGAGTCCCTCCGCACCCCCACCCCCTGCAGCCCCCC